CTTTCCTGTCTGAAATATTATCAAAATTAGAAGTGCATTAAAAAAAAMCAAAGAGGAAGATGCCCTGTGCGTAGCAAGCGATTAGGGTTATTGGATAAGCCATAGGGTTACTGTAGACTCCTTTTGATTACTGGCGGTAGTTATCATGGATAGATATCTTTTGTATTTCAGTGTATTTATCATATAAAGCTATAATCATGCATCTTTCCAAAAACTCCATCAGGACTTAAAGTTGTTATAAGAAATAGTCTTTAAGAATGCATGGTATTCTCTTGATTTTTTTTTTTTAATTACACAGAATGATTTGGTTGAAAGTATTTGGGTCTGATATGAAGCTCAGGAAAAATCTAGAAGAGATACACTTCCAGAATGTGAAATTAGAAAGCAGGAACCTGTTTAAACTTTTTAACATCTTCTGTACTGATTAGTACAAACTCACGTRCACACACACAGAGTTTAGGTGTCCTGGGCAATCTCTAAAACTGTTTAAGGAAATCAGATCAGTTTATTTGCCTTGGTGTAAGCTTGGGGGTTGTTTTTTTTTTTAATTCTTGCTCTTTTAGTCTTCATTTTTATTATCTTTTCACTGCACATTGTCTTTGTTTTTATCTTTATCCTATGACAGCTCTAACCAAAAATCTGAGAAGTACTTTGTTAAAGACATTTAACATGTGATGTCAGGTATTGTCCATGTTTCTCTCTTTCTGATTATAAATGGAGGTGGAAAAAATATGAGGTAGAAGTCTCTGAGGATCTTTTTTATACCATTCACCTTGAAGCTTTCTAAATGTTTTAAGCTGTTATTCAAAATGTACATAGTAATYTGAACAAATGCGAATGATGTGTGTGTCATGTGAGGTAAGATAAAATACAGAAACTGTTTATTGCTGAGTTATATGCAAGGCTGCGTGGTCAGTGGTGCATAGCTGGGCTACATAAAACATTTGAAGTCTGTGTATTTATTGATTTCATGTGGCTGTGGTGCCCATGCTCAGGAAAACTGAGGGATTTACTGTGGRCTGTTGGTCCCAGGCACTCATTAAAGCAGGATAAGAGGATGGGGTTTAACATTGAATAGTTATCTAGGACTGGCAAATACATTCTGATTGTCTTTTATGGAGCCACTACTGTACCTTGCCAGTAGTGATATCCTGGATATAATGGCATTTGATTCTGCACCAGCATCTTTCATAGGGCTATAAATGACTGCAGTCATGTTATCTCTTCAAGAGTCGCGCTGCTCAGTGATTGTCATATTGGAGCTAAAGACAGTGAATCATTTAAACAGGGTGAAGTGCCTTGTTCTTTAAATGTGTTCTGCAAACATGTGTAATTGGTCTTGCAAAAATTTGTTCCTGAAGAGGTCTTGAAAAGTCAAGCCTTCCCGTGCTACATTTGAGAGTGTTTTTTAGAGGCTCTGCTGTGATGTTTGCCCTAGAATACATACTGTGCTACACTGATACTGACAAAAGCGGCAGCAATTCTTATTTTCAGGTGCCCCTCATGCTTTTCATTAGAAATGATCAGGCTACAGGCTACTCAAAGCTTTTCTGCCATACTGAGAAAATTGGATTTTCCTGCTCCAGAAATGAGGAACAGAACTGTGCCACTTTTCCTTTGCTAAGGAGACAGCAGGGGCAGATGGGCTGCAACAAAAGGCAAAACTTCTGCCCAGCTCCCACTGTGGACTTGAGCTGCTCTCTCACAGATCCTGTGGTGGGAGCAGCAGCCTGGATTTTCAGGACTTCAGTGTAGGTGATGGGGTTTTAACCTCTTTTGCTCTGCTGAAAGTGTTTGTGAGTAGATTAGATCCTACTAGAATCTTCTGGAAGGCTTTGTGAATTCCTAAGTTTGATTAAGCAAGGCAGGAAATTCTGGTGGTGTTGGGAGGCAGAGGGGGCAGAGCCATCTTGAACTTGTAGAGCTTGATTTAGTCAAGAGCTAGACTTTCCACAAAGTGTTCCCAGAACTCAAAAACTGGGAAGTACAGTACGGAGACCCTTAGACTCTGAATGAAGACACACATTTTATCATCATCYTGGTWCTTGATGGGAATAGGATACACAGATATCTGGTCTGACTCCCCCTACTGAGCTTGGGTCTGGCAGGACTGATACTAAGCTGGAGCTCTTAAACCCATACCACAGCCACTCTTCTGCTTAGTATATATGGACTGTTTTCCCATTTTTTGCTGTGTTCTAGGTAGCAGACACTGACTTTTCTATTTAGAAAGACAAATTGCATGACTCTCTGTGTATATATATTGTAGACAGGCRAAATATATATACATAAAAATCTAAAATATATATCACAAAATATATGCATATATAAATGTGTTTTCTCTGTAAAGTTGTTAAAGACTTAAAGTCTAGGTAGTACAGGGATGTATTGTGCAAGAGCAACTTTATTTTTGATTAGAAGACTTAATGAGAGCTTTGCAGAAACCCTTTCTTACACATTTCAATATTGTAAAGTTATTGGTTGTGGATGAATCTGAATTATAAGGTGAATAAGGCTATTGACTGTAGGATCTCATTGTAAGTGTTGATGGTAGGTAGTGAATCAGGTAAATGCAAGAGGAAAAGCAATACAGAAAATTGCTTCTGTCTGTTCCACCTAATAGTTCCTAGATGGTCCTGTGCAAATAAATTAAATTAGGCTTTTTACATATTTTCTGTCAGATCATCAGTTTTTTCTGTTCTTCAGTACAAAACATCAGGGTTTCCACTGTTCCATTTCCCRGGTGCTGAGTACTCGTAGCATACAGACTCTCAGATATTTAGTCACCCAGCTTTTCTAGCATTCTTAAACCTTTTAAGCATTTGAATATTTCAGTGGAACRGGCTATAACTCTGCAACAAGTGTAGATATGTTTCCCCATATGTTTCTCAACAAATTGGAGCAATCTCTCAAAACTGAGAGAGGTGATCCTGCATTTTAATTCTGGCTCATCCATTTCTTTACTGGGCACTTCTCAAGCAATTTTACCAGAGGGAAAATGCAAGGACAAGCCAGTGGAGAGTGAGAAGAAGTTTGGGGCCCTGAGATACCAAGAAATGCAGTGAAGGTGTACCTGATTCCACTTCCGCTTAAGTGTTTTTTTTGATGCTGTACAGCAAATGCAATAGGACACATGCATCTGAACAATAAAGATAAGACAGCAATTCAATATTTCTTTTTATCTGTTGAATGCCATCCATCTTATGTAAGTAAAGACTAGGCTATCTTGTGTTTAACTGCAGGAGGACAGATTTCAAGATGCTTGTGTGTATTTTGGTACTTAATTAATGACAGCTTAACTCTTGTAAGAATTCCAAAGGTCTCATTGTGCTGAATAGTGTATATCCACAGAGTAAAATATGGATTGTGTCTCTTCGGATGGTAAATGAAGGCAGGATAGATGGTAAAAGTGAGGGGAATTCTCTTAYAATTATTGATGCCAGCCCTGGACTATGGATTAAATGACATTCTCTTAGTTAGCAAAGAGGCACGACAAAGTTTAGAATTTCACCAACATTTTGTGACATAATTAGACAAATTTTTGATGCTGGTTTGGTGATGTAAGAGTTGTTGATGTGGTTTGAGACATTATTGGCCTTTTATCCTTTCCACAGCGACTCTGTGAGAGCACGCTGTCCCTGCAGCAGAGCCATCGGGAGCACACGGGTTACCTGTTCCAGTGCAGAATGTTGGCAGACAGGGAAAAACTGGCTGTTTCCCTCAAGCAGCTGAGGCAGATGTAGCAGCACTGCTCTGCTGCCTTGCCTGGCAGGCAAGGGGTTCAGGTGGGACCTGAAGAAGGTGTAATGGTGGCTTAAGGATGGTGTCACCTTCAGCTGCTGCAGGTGTCAGCTACATCTTCTGTCGGTCCACAGTTCAAACTTACCCAGTCATTTGACTCAAAGCAATAATACTAAGAAAATATGAAGGAGAAAACCAGTTTAAGTTAAGAGGAACCATCTTGCTTCTCTTAGGTCTGGTTTGACTCTGGCTAAGAGTCATAATTGGTTTTTCTCTTGGTCCTAGCTGCTTTCATGAGTAAACCTGTGTGGAGTTTTTTGGAGATAGGCCCAGTTTTTTCTTCACTCTTTTCTTTTCTATGGCAAATATGTAAATTTAAAACCTGATGGAACGCTTAGTTTCATGTCTGAAAAAAGGTTTATGAATGTGAGAATGGAAAGAAAAAGAGTCAGGCATTTCAATTTTTTAAAAAAACTTGGCAAGGATCCCTTCACAAGGAGGTGCAAAGTCATAAATTCCTTCATAGCTATATAATCTGTTGTGCTGTCCAAGTTGATTATGAAGCAGAACTGTGATAGTATTGCCTGGAACTTAATTTTGATTTTTTTTTTTGTCTCTTTAACTGGCATAACKATATGAATGCTGCAAGGGAGAGATATACATTTGTTATCTAATGTGTGTTTGTATATAACAATACTTCTGTGTGTAGACAGTACTTGAAATGGACTACATTTCCTGAAATTTGGAATTAGTTTACTTGCCCTTTGGTTTTGTCTTGTTTATTGCAATTCAGAGAGTTCTGTGTGTATTGACCAAAGGTACATGTACCCTTGAAAGGGAGAGTGTTGCATTCCCAAGCAGGAGATGCAAAATACCTATGCTCAGGGAAAAGGAGGATGTAATGTTGAAGGGAGGGTTTGATGTCCATCCTGTTCTTACGCATTGAGATTGCAGAGAAAATAGCATTATATTCCTAATTTTTGCAGTGTGGAAGTATTCCTGGCATATTTCCTGGAGGGAAGGAAAATTTTTGTAGAACTCCTAAAGGTGTGAGAGGAACAAGATGTGCAACAAATTGCTAGAATGTGAAGTATGCAATTTTTTAAGTGTAAAATTTTAAGATTGTCTAAATACCTCTTTCCTGTTGGGTCTGCAGTGTTTGCAAATAGATTTTTTTTTAATGTAAGAATGTTGCCATTTTTAAAAATATAATTATTGTTGTTTTTTTTTTTGTTTTTGTTTTTGTTTTTAAACTGTAGGTATGAGAAGGTGCCAGTAATTCTGGTTGGTAATAAAGTGGACCTGGAAAGTGAGAGAGAAGTATCATTGAGTGAAGGCAGAGCCTTAGCTGAAGAATGGGGCTGCCCCTTTATGGAGACCTCTGCTAAAAGTAAAACAATGGTGGATGAGCTCTTTGCGGAAATTGTTAGACAAATGAACTATGCAGCACAGCCAGACAAAGATGATCCATGCTGTTCTGCATGTAATATACAATAGCATTAAAAATGACCTAACTTGGACTTAATTTGCAGAAATTTTGTAAGGTGGTAAAACTGTCTACTTCACTTCCTGGTTTGTGGGTCACTTGAAATACATCTGTAGTGAAGTAGCAACATTAACTCAGAGCTGAGCATTGAAAGTCAATCACTGACTCTGAATATAATTGGGTTAAATGACCACATCTCACCCGGTTTTTCCCTTTGAGCACCTGCAATTTTATGGCACAGTCAGYTGATCTACAGGGTCGTTCCAGTCGAACGTACGTGTGTTGTCGTGTCAGACAGCAACAACAGCAACTATTTCCGAAGAGGACAGAATCCTTTTGGAAACAGGAAATGAAAGCAGTGGAGAGGATATCTCTGAAGAYCATTCACAATGAGCATAAGTATGAAAAGGAGAGCCAAGTCTTTTGGTGTCTGATAACCACACTTCAGAATGGGCACTATCACATGTGGCTGAGTTTGTTCAGTCAGTTATGTTGATTTCACCAGAACTTCTGACAGTGTTGGAGAAAAAGGCTACCAGAGACCCATATAGTTTGGATTCTTTTCAAAATCAATGCTATTATTTCTACACTTTATCCCACATCTTGAAATAGAAAACATTGAATCAGCGTGTGAAATGAGAGGCAAGATCTGGAAACAAGTGACGGGTGAAGAAACAGTCTGGCATTGGAATGTTTTAAATCTTTCATTTTGCTGCTCAAAAATGGAGGATCGCTTCAGGTTTTGGTCTACAAAAAGCCAAACAAACCCTCTGTTTACAAAGCAGGAAGCATCATTATTTTCACTTTACTGAACCAGGAGGAAGCAACTGTGATGAAAAAAAAATTGCTGAGCCTTACTAACAAGGAACACTTTAATAGATTAACTAGTACCATCTTGTAAGGAAAATTAAGCCATGTTTCATCCATATGTTCCCTTCTGCAGAAACCTCGTGGGACAGTATGAACATCCTGCATTTTTAAGTTTGTTAAAGACAACAGTTTTTCTTGCCTCTAAGGGCTACATTCTCTGGTGTGATCCCAACTAACCTTTGAAAATCCGGTTTGCTATTTGATAGCTTTAATGTTGAAAACTTAAATTGAATAACCATGTAAAATCATTTGGTTCAGAGGTGAAATAGTTACGGTTGTAATTCCTTAGGTGAGTGTGGAAATGGCTCTTTAATTGCCTGACACACTATTCAAAGGTTGCCCCAATTAGTGGAGTGTTTAATGGTGGGAGCAAATATTTTATTTTGAAAGGATGCTCGAGCTCTGACTTGCTAGTTTCATAGCAGTGAAGTATTTATCATTTGCATGACTAATGGCACAGAAATACCTATTTCAAAGTCTTACAATCAAAGTATAGGAAAGTTTTCAATCGCAATGTTTAGATTTTAAATGCTGGAAAGATTGTCTTGAGCTGGATCTTTTATAGGTAAAATTGGCCATAAAAATACAGTCACTGAGCCTGTGGTCTAAATAACACCATGCGTTTATTAGTTTTTCAATCTTGTGCAGTAACAGTGTAGTTCCTTGTGTTTAAATGAGTGAAAATAGGGGTGCTGGGCTGTGTGTGTGTGTGTTGAGTGTGTATGTGTGTGTGTATATGGCCCTTAGAAATGCTGTAATTGGAGTTAGGTTCGAGAGTTTTGCCTCCATCTGCAGAACTTCCTAAAAGCGCTCTCATCTGCCACAAAGGACACTGGAGTAGAAAAAACACTTTGCAGATCTCCATGCATAAATATCCTTAACATTTTGAATTATAGTTCATGGATGATAACTAAAGGAAATCATGGAAGAGAACTGGCCAACTCTGCCCTTAAAGTTTCAAGACCTTTCCACAACTAGTGTGACAAAGGGCATTAGATGTCACAGAACATTAAGCCTTACTAGAACGTAAATGTAGCCCATTTCCCATCTACCTTGCAGAGCTTTCGTTTCTGTACTTCATTCTCTTAGGGAGATAGGCACACCATTTATTTCTGGCGTCTGAATGCCCATTTTGGGTGCTCTGAATCGCCCTCCTAGAGGCACCTACCTCTTTCCATTGACTATATAGCAAACTTAGGCTTTTAACTTTGGTCCTCCAAGTCACACAACTCACATGCCTAAACCAGATGGTATGAATGTTCTCTTACCACCCCTGCCTGCCCATTGTGTCAGCTGCCATGCTTAAGCAAGATGTGAGATGTTGGATTAATGATATTTCAGGGTTTCAAATATCTAGATTAGGAAACGGTTTATGAAGCAGCACGATCCCATCTGTAAAACAGCTTGTCAGTGTGATATCCACTGCATAAGCACTTGGGAAAAAAAAAAGAAAAACAAAAACAAACCCCAGAAAAAAAACCAAAGCCAAATTTCAAATTGAGTTGGAAGTACATGTTATGCAATGTTATTTACAAAGATGTTAAAAATCTTACCTCACAGATTGTTCATCAACCAAGAAAATGGCATGAAGTAGATTATGAGCAGCCCAACATGAAGTTCATAATGTAAAGCAGATGGGCTTTAGATATAGGAAAAAAATTCATAGTAAATTTTTAACTGAAAATATTAAAGAAAATATCTCCCAGTTTTGTTTCTTCATTACACTCTTACATTTTCAAAAGCATAGGCCATATGTAAGCTACCATGCAACTTGGCTGGGGGGGCAAAGCGTAAGTGTTGTTTTTCATTGCATAGTTCTGAGGAAGTAGTTATGCACTATTTGTATTTCCACTAATGTGAAGGTAGTGGAGCTTGAATCAATGACAGTTGCACTCAACAGATTTTTCAAGTTACAGGGGTAGCAGAAAGGGAGGTAGGTGAGCCACACAGCAGCTGCATGGCCACCCTGCAGGAGTCATTGGTCTTGGGTCACTGTTTCATTTGTACCCTGACAGGATTACCAATTATAGTATTTGAAAGTTTCTTATAACATGCCTTAAAATATTATGATTTGTTCCAAAGACCCACTTTTCCTTTGGCTGTTCTTGTAGAGCTTTGTACTTTTCTACAAAGACAGCATTTCTCCGGTTTTGTTGTTTTTTTTTTTTAAAAAAAAAAGTTGCAACTTTTATTCTTTTAAGCTATGATAGTGAGAGCAACTGTTTCCTCTTTCCCTTAAAAATACACACAAAACCCATTCAAAGCAAACAAATCAGAATCAGATCAAGAGTAAAGTTACATATAACTTGCATTGGATTTTAGCAGTTTTTTTGTTGTGTCCGTCCCCCTGCTTGCCCCTTCAGAGCATCAAAGGAAGAAATTTGGTGACATTTTCTGTTCTGGTCCTAGCCTCTCCCTAACCCCAGTGCTACAGTTGCCATTACTTTTCTGTGGGAAAACTACTGGTATTTGCTTTCCTGTATAGAATGTTGCCTAAAGATGTCAGCCATTTGGTTGGGGGGTTTTGTGCATGTTTGTTTTTTAATTTTTTTTTAATTTTTTTTTTTTTTTTTACCAGTGTGCCATCAAAGCACTGGTTAGGCTTTAATTGTGAAACTCTGCAACAAAAGCAAATGTTTGACAACTGCAGGAGGCTTTTATCTGCATTGTTGTGCACCTGTTAATTCTTGATCAGGGTTTGAAGAAAGACTGAAGTGGGTTCTGGAGTCAGACTTAACGCTGTTGATTTGGAGTTTCCTAGGGGTGAATTAATGTATTTCACAGTTAATTGTTGAGCTCTAATACAACTGGCAATTTAAAATGGGGCAACRGTTTGTTTTGTAACAATGTCAGTTGTTTAAACCTTGATGTTTCAAATAAAACAAGAATTGTACATAGAACTCAATGCAAACTCAGCAGTTGTATTTGGAGTTAAATTATTTTAACAAATAAATTTATTTAATGAAATCTTCCTTGCATTTTCTGTATTGTTCACTTTGGTTTGATCAAAAAGTTCATCCAGAGCTGATGAGGGTGTCCAGTAATTTGAAACAGCACTGTCAGCTATATTCAGTTCAGCTAAGTATTTCCTGCCAAAATGCTCTTCTGGTACAAATTAAATAGCAATAAGTRAAAATCAAGTTTTTATTTTTTATGGATGGGTGGATGTTGCGATTTAAGTTATGAGCTTGATAAAGAACAATAGCAACGGAGGAGGTTTTTTTGTTCACTTTTCTTGTGGGATATACACTGCCAACAATCAGTAATACTCAGTATTTGATAAAATACAGCTCTTGCAATGCAAGAGAATAGTGCTTATTGTAAATATATAATAAAATGTTCTATATATAAAAAAACAAAATTGCCAAATAAAAAATTGGTCAATATATGATATAGTTAATATGCAGAACTACTTTTATAGCATTGAGGCTGCAAAGGGTTAAAGAAGGATTGTTGGTTATATCAGCTGTTCAATTGATGAGTGTTTTGAAGGCTTTCAGCACCACACAAAAGGAGTTAGTGTTAAAAAGAACTTCAAATACAATTAGTGTTGCAGAGATTTATAAATGAACAGTTGAGCTAATGCATAACAGGATTATTCTAGCTAATTGGCACTGATCAGCAGTTACATTTTAGTCATGCCAGTATTGCTAAAATACCCTGTTTTCAGTAATGATGGGTGCTTGGTAGTTTCTTTTTGGCATGTCATGCATGCCTTAAGGAGCAAGAAGCCTGAGGCTGGCACATGTTAAAAGCTTTTAGTTCTATGGATCATATAGAAGGCTGACACATGCTTCATGTTTTTGATTTGCCCATTCATTCTGTAAATCAGTTCCAGGGGAACTTTCGCTGATGGGTTCTTCCACTCCCATTAGCTTCGTAATATCCTTTTGTTTTACCCAARAAGATACCTATAAAGGGACAACAGGAATTAATTGGGCTGTTCTGAATAGTTAAAAAAATGCCAGTGTGTGACATGCTCTTTTCAAATAACTGAACAGCTAGAAWACTTTGAATTTTTCACTCCTAGCAAATGCTTTCTCTGTCTCTCTGTACCCTTCCTCTTTTTTTTTTCTTTCTTGCTACTGAAGGAAATTTTTTACTCTRTGAAATATTTTGGTTGGATGTAATATCTTGTTATCAATCTTCCACTGTTACTAGTCTTACTGGATCACCAGCCTTTGGTCATAACTTCTGTTGCTTGACCAGGAAATCACTGGACTACATCTTCTATCACAAGTTACCTTCAGTAGTATTGCGTGCTTGCTGTTTGCCTTGTGTTTTATTCTCCATTAAAATGACATCTCTTATTCTCTTTTAAGAAAGAAATTTCTGGTTTCCAATGRCTGTTTGAATGCACTAGTGCCCTACTCAGTTGTCTTAAACATAATTCCTGCTTTGCCATAAAACCTGCAGGTATAAATTTTCTTGTGTTTTTGTGCTAGTTGCAGACACAGAATTTGCAGKCATTTGGAACTGCTGGTTTCTTCATAGGGAGGTCAGTTAATACTTCTGGATTTTGACTCCAGTTGTTCAGAACTTTGTCTGATGGTTGACACAACATCATGTTTTTCTTCTCACATTGGAAGTAAGCAGTGCTGAGTTAAGAGTCATAGGCTCATAGAATGATTCCAATGGAAAGGGATGCTTAAAGTTCATCTATTCCAACCCCTGTGCCATGAGCAGGGAGATCTTCCACTAGACCAGATTGCTCAAAGCCTGGCCTTGAACACTTCCAGGGATGGGAAGAGCTTCCCTGGGCAACCCATTCCAGTGCCTCACCACCCTCACCGTGAGAAAATTTCTTCCTTAGAATCTAAACCTGCTTTCTTTCAGTTTGAAGCCATTCCCCTTGTCCTGTCACTACAGGCTCTTGTCAAAGGTCCCTCTCCAGCTCTTGCAAGCTCCTTTTAGATACTGGAAGAGTGCCAGAAGGCTCCCWGGAGCCTTCTCTTCTCCAGGCTGTGGGTTGCATTTACAGGCTGGATTGCAAGTGGGTGGAAGAAAAAGCCGTGTTGATGTGAGCCAGGCGCTGTGCAATACTGGAACTGCTAACGGCACATCTTCATCCCACTCTGCTGCAACSGTTTTTCTGTGTACTTTCAAGCACACACTTTTTGGTCTGACTGGAATATGAAATAGTCTGTGGGGCACTGAGAATTTATTTGAAATTCTTCACGGTGCAGTGGCCATGTACATAGACAACTGGATAACAGACCTGGCTGCTCTTCTTAGGAGTGTTTGCAAGGCCAGACAGCCATGTAGGAGTCTCACTGCAGAATAGAAAAGTGAAGTGGTTAGCTGGCAGAAGTGGAGGAGAATGGGGGTGGATCTAGGTTAAAGAGGTGAAAAGATAAACCTGAAAGACTGCTAAAGAAAAATATGTAGGTAGACTGTTACGTTGAATAATAGAAATATGAGTATTAAGAGCATTCTTGAACAAAAGTGCTTATTAGGTAGATCAGTGAACTAGATCTGAAGTGTATCCTTCTACAAGATATTTCATTTAGTTGAAGTATAAAGCTGCTTCTTGAGATGTTGTATGGAAAGATTCTGAATACTTGATTGTTTTTTCTTGTTTTAGAATCCTTATACGGTTTAATAACCAAAAGATATTAACCCCAAATGTCRTCCCCAAACACTTGAGACATGTCACCTTGGCTTTCTGGTTGTACAACACCGCTTAGGAGAACAAAAGATGCTTTCATCCTACAGCCAAGAATATACTCTAGATCACAGTTCTTTTGGTTATTGCATAGGCTTCTTTCTACTATTCACCCTTTGTTCTTGCAGATGGAATGATCAAACTGAATAGAGGTTGCCTGGCACTTTCCAGTATGAGAAGGTGATCCTTTTTTTTTTTTTTGCTGCTTTCCAAACTAATTAGTAGAGCTCCAGTTTTTTCAGGATGATCTCTCTGTCCCAGATTTGGGGATGGTTGTTTGTTCTCTATTTTTTTAATGGTTCAGCTGTTTCTAAGGATAAAACAATGGAAGATGCACCATTCTGCATGTGCTAAATTCTTGAAAACATTCTTTTAATACCTGGCACCATCCTGGTTTKAACCACTGGGAAATTGCCCAAAACCCCACAATATTGGTACGTGGGTCTAAACTTGGCCAAATTATAAGCCTGTGAAAAAATGGTTTGCCCACTATAAGGAAGTCTAAAAGTCTGCATCGAGACTCAACTGGATTGGATATGCTTTCTGCTCTTTGTATATCATATATAGTAACTGCTGGGTGCAAGGCTCACTYCTTGTCTGTACACACTGGCTGAGAGCTGAGAAACAGAGTGGGAAAGAGTAGGATGAGACTTCAGCAGGGAGGATTTCCAACTGTAGATCTCAATTTTTCTTGTTTAAGGAATAGAAATCAGCTTTTCTGGCAGTAAAGTCATGTAGGAGCAGATTCAGAGGCAGACTTCATTTTAACACCAGCAGTGGAGGACTTGTCTGAACACAGGAATCTCATAACCTGCCCGACGGTATGTGACCAACGCAGGGATATGAGAAACTCTCCAAAAGTAGAAGTGTGGTTTTACCTAGAAGTCCTTCCCTAAATAAGGCAATAGTAAGTTAACCTTTATAGTATTTGCTGTGTGAGATTTTAAATACAGGAACACAAATAATTGATTACCACAAAGAAGATGAGATTCTGCAAAGCAAAATAGATGATACRTAAGTGTCCTATTGATAGAGAGTAAATTGATGAGGTCACTCGATGCAATGTGAATTAAGGGGCTTCTCAAATTCTCCATGAAGCCTCAGGACTTGTAACAGATGCTGCTCCAATAGAGTGGATTCCTTCCAGGGCTGTGTATTTCTCTAACTGGTTTTCAAGTAAAGTTTCTTTTTTWTCCTGTGTGGCTCTATTGAAAATTTGKTCYGGGGAAGACAACRCCTAAAGTCAGATGCAGTGCTGATGTAACATTTAGCTTTTATGTTTTAAGATGGAGGGAGAACACCAAAGATTCTTCCAGTTCTTCCTAATTTTTCAGGGAAAGATACACTGAAGATTTGAGAGGTATTCATAAGAGTTGGCACCTCTTTATTAGGGGAACTCAGTCAACCCTTCTTAATGAAGGTGCTATTTGTGGTTATTTCTAGGAACATACTTATCCAAGCAGTCAGAGATCATGAAGAGTGGGTGGGCATTTGGAGCA